TACATATTTCTTGTTGAAAACCAATATTTTAATTAAATTGCATAATAATAAATGTTGAAAAAAATATTTATTATTTTTAATGAGAAAATAAAAATATATATAAATTCAATAAAGAAAAATTTGTACTATTTTTCTTAACAAAAATACGCAATTATCAAAATATATATTATGACCACAAAAATTTCTACCACAATTATTATTTCAACATTAAATGTATAAAGTTTGCACTAATAATATTATTATATTAAACAAATTAATATACTTCCATCACACATTACACTATAAGTAATATTATAAACTTATTTTAAGTAATATTTAAATAAGTAATAACATTTTATTTTATACATTCCAAAATGTAAGAAAAATGTGCACTTATAAACCATTACACAGTAAAAAAAAAAATAAATAAATATATGTTATTTTATTTTTTTTCGTATGTGTATACTTGCAGTTACAAAAAAAAAAAAATATATTTATTTTTTTTTATATGATTATGACTTAAAAAAAAAAACTATTATAGTTGTTTTATTTTATTTTATTTTTTTTTTTTGTGAAAGATTAAAAAGATAAATTTAAAAATTACATTTGTAGATTATCCTATAAATTAGATAAAATAATAATTAATTAATGTAATTAATATTTACTATTAACAAAGGTAAATAATTTGCTTAATATTTTTATTTTAATAAAAATAAAATAAGTAGAGTTTTCTCTACATGTCATTTATTAATTTTTTTGTCTAAATAATAAAGTCATTTAACGAGAAATTAATAAATCGCATATTTATAGTTAATGCATTACATAAGTGACAATATTCTTTTATGTAATTTATATATATTATGGCATCAAAGTATATACAAAGCTTACATTTTTTTTATTTCAATTGATAAATAATAATAATAACATTCATACAATTTTTTTTATTATCTTTGCTTTTTGTAAAATAATTTTAATATTTTTATATGATTATGCATTATCACTTGTTAACAAAAATGATACTAATATTTTTTTCAATATTAAAAAAATATTAAGAATTATAAAATAAAAGATACTACATTGTCCCACATGTTAATACATTAAGATGTTACATATTCAAAGAATTCTCATTGAAGTAATAAAATAAAATTCTCATGTATAATCAATATTAGAGAAAGTGAAATTCTTTTAATTTTAGAAATTTCGTAAAAAAATCTGTTTACTGTGAAAAATAAAAATATTGATTGCAATGTTCTTATTATATATTAAGGATTTTACTTATTTTTTTATTAATTAAATTATTTTAAGTTGAAATAACAATTCATAAAAAAGTAAAAATAACTTTTATATCTAACTAATAAGATTATCTTTTTAATTCATTACAAAAGTGTGTAATAAATCAGTTACATTATAATGATAAATTTCTTTATTCAAATACAAAGTAAAGAATGTAACAATTCTATAAATTTTATTTTATCGTATTTCATTTAATTTAAAATAAAGAATGCTATATTAAACGTATTAAATATTGTTTTGTAAAGACACTAAAATTTTTTTTAATATATCTAAACTTTCATGTTATAATATTAGCTATCATTAACTTATAAAATGAAACCTATTATATGTTTTATGCTATATGCATCTCTTTAGTACACAGATATTATCTTTTACATTAATTGATATTGAATATTGTTTTTAATTATATTTTTTATTTAATAACTCACTTAATTTCACTTTCATTTTTATTTAAATGCTATAATGATATAATTTAAATCTATTTTATTTTGTTTTCATATACTTTAAACTTTTTTCAAACATCACTTCACTTTTCCTTTATTTAAATTTTTTTCACATATATATCTATATTGTAATGGAATGAAGTTGACCTTGTAAGGTACCTCGTATAAGTTTTGTTATATAAACATACATAGTAATTCACTTTTATATCTTTAAAATATGAAAAAATATTATATACTTATAATAATTATTGTCTAAGTTATGTACTTTTATTAATCCGTAATTCTAAATTTAATTAAAATAGAAGTTTTCCTTTAATTTTTATAGTTAGTATTAAAATAAATATTATAACTTACATAATCATTATCATCATTATTTAAAGCCTTGATTATAAATATGATAGTTTTAGTTTATGCGTTAATTATAATCATTATGAATATTATTTTCATTATTATATAAATTATAATTTTCACTTCTATCATAATCATGGAAAACAAAAATAATTACTTTCATAACTTGTTATTACTGGCAAATATGCGCCTCATTTTACCATTTAAATAATAAAATATAATATTTTTATCATCAAAATATCCAAAATTGTATTTTTAGTACTACATAATATTTATAATAATCATATAAATCGTGTTAACTGCTGCTTATATAAAATTTTATCTTTCTTTTATTTTGGTTACTGCAAAAGAAATATAAAAATTTAACGTTGAATTATGCTTATGATTATTCTTTTTTATTGCTTTTTTTTTGTTTCACATATTTTAAATAATTTAAATTATGTTAGAAATTTTTCTTTTATCACTTTTTTCCCTCTATTATTCAGATTTTATAATAATATTCTTTTTAATTTTTCATTGTCTTAAGATTTTCTTATACTATATTTTTTTTTTTATTATAAATATTTTATATGGTTATACTTTGAAAAGTATTTTTCCATATTATACTGAGATGCACTCTTAAAATGTTCTTGAAACTTTGTGTAATATACCATATTTTCTTAAAATGGGAATTTTATTACAATTTAACAAAAGAAATATTTCTTCATTTTATATAGTTCAAAATTATGTATTATGTCTTTAAGCAAAAATAAAAATATATTTATATAAATAAATCGAAAATATACATTTATTTTATTTAGAATTTAAGAAAAATAAAAATATCTCTTTGTAAAAATAAGTATTAATGGTTTTCACATTTTCTCTTTTTTTATCAAAAAAAGGTGTTATAATTAATAAATAGAACAACATTTTATTAATTTCCTTTTACTAGACATTTATAAAATAATGAACAGACGTATTAATAAAAAGTATGGATGTTAAAATATACTAATTTTGCTTTTATAAAATTACTTATTATAAATAAAATATAGTTCTTAAAATATTCAGTTCTATAATGCAAAGAATTTATTTTAAACAAAGTTCAAAATACTTAAAATAATAAGTTAAAAAAATATACACATATTTTCAATTATTTAAAAGAATACAATAACATTAAATTATATTTCTAAAGGCTATTATCTACTCTTATTGAAACTGAAATACTCATATAAATATTGAAAAAACATTATACACATACCAATTTTCATTCGAAATCTAATTTACGTATGTGATAAAAGCTTATCTCTTTTTATCAATAATTATTAAATTAAAAGAAAGTAAAATTTTCTTTTTATTACTCTTTATACATCTATATAAAATAATAATAAAAAAAAAAAAAAAGTAATAATTCTAGAAATAACATATATATTTACATATATATAAAATAATGTATTTTTTCTTTCTATACGTATATATTACGTGTTGTGTTCACATATTAGAAATCTCTTATTCATTATCATACTTTTCTATTTTCTCTATTTCATTAAATGGAAAGTTCAAAATAGTTAATAATAATTTTTATTGATTAAACAGATGTAACAAAAAAAAGAAGAAAAATATATAAACTTTTTTTAATGAAAATATTAAGAAACATTTTTTTATATTATACTTGTAGAAGACTAATTATTTTCATACAAAAAAATTATATATATTTTTTTTTTAAAAATAACTTGCATTTTTATAAATCAGTAGTCAATTAATAGCATTATAGACATTTCTAGTTTTAATGAGAATGAATATAAAATAGATAAAGTTCTTTTTGCTAGCATAAGGTATATGAGTAAAACATGCATACTAGAATTATTGTACTAGAATGAACTAATTTTAAATAATGTTTATATTAAAAATACGCATACTACATTACATGTTCTAGTATATAGATAATAATTCTTTTATTTTTTTTATTACTTGAAAAATTAACTTTTTTTTGAGAAAGCAATTAATGATTTTTTACATAGTATATGATATGTTGGTCAGTAGAAATTAATAGTTCTGTGTATACTATTAATTATTTAGTGAATGCATTGATTCAAGTTTAATATAAAGAGTTGATATTAAGTGATAAATTATTAAAAATTATATAATTATTATAAAATTTAAGAATAAAAATAAAATTTGTGTTAAATTAAATAGCGTAATAAATAATTAATCGTTATTTATAATAATTAATTCTACGAAAAATATAATAAATAAAGATCTCTATGTGCTCTTTGTTATTTTGACTATTCGAAGCACCTTAAAATTTTTTGAATGGAAACTAATATATTAATTAATTTTACCTTTTAAGTTAAATAATAAGAAAATATAGCACATATATTTATTTATATAAAAAAGTATATCTTCACTTATATGTTCATGCTCATACCTGCTTAATAACATTTTAATAATTTATATATATTTAATATATATTTTGTTACATTTAGAAAATTGTATCTATATTTTAATTAAAATTTTCATTTTAAATGTTTTTAATGTTTTTAATATTTTAAGCTTTATAAAATATATACTAAAAATTATTATTATTTAAAAATATATATAATTCTATGTATATATTAAGATTTATAATAATGAAATAATTATAAAAAAACTATAAATTTTATGTCCTATTAAAAAAAAAAAGATACTAATAAAAAAAAACATTAAAATACACAAAACTTTTCATAATTTTTTTTTAATCATTATTGTCTATATATATCCAATTTTTAAAACATAAAAAAATCCTATATTTAATTTTGTACTTAATAAATAAAAACTATTTTAAAAAAAAAAAAAAAAATTTTTTATGTGTTACTAGACAAACTTTAATTCATTAGAAAAAAGAAAAATTACATCTTATTTTTATAACTTTTTTTTTTTTTTTTTTTTTTTTTGCAATAAGAATCTAAGAGTACATAAGTTTTATGGTATTTCCTCTATTGTACGATCTGTTATCACTTGATTAATAAAAAATAAAGCGAATAAAACATTTTCCTTTTTAATAGTTTTTTTTTGTTCTTCCAATGAAGTTTCGCGACTAATATGCCAATAGATTATGCGTGCTGCGTTCTGAAAAATAAATTTAATATTTGTAAAATTATGATAAGCCTGCATTATTTTTTCATTACCTTCCTCTATATTTTTTTGTAAAGAATTAAACATAAAATATTTATCGAAATCCTCTTTAATACCATTAAATTGAATTTTCATATTTTCCATAACATCAAGTAAAAACCACTTCTTCTTCTTTGTTCTAGGTGGCATATTTCTCTTTTCTTGTGTTATTATTTCTTGTAATGATTCACATATATCTATTAAAGATGTTAATTTTTCCTTAAAATATGTAATTTTCATTAATTCTACAAAATTTTTATATATATTAGATAAAACTTTTGATGTAAGGGGGGTTTTGATTAAAACTTCTAGGGATTTTTCATCTGAAGATTTTTCTTGAGAATCCACGTTAAAAATTTCATCAGTTTTTTTATGATTTTTCAAGGCATTTTCACTTTCTAATAACAAAAATTTGTCTAACGCTTCTACAACTTTTTTATTATATGCATCTTTAGAATGATCTTCTAAATTTTTTTTTCGTACACTATTTTCTTGGTTGAAGTTATAAAAAACATAGTCTGTTAATATTTTTTCTTCTTTATTTGTCAAGTTAAGTACTTTCAAATATCTTAAGCATGCTCTTAAATTATATCTAAAAACTCTCCTTACTTTACTCATAATAGCTTCAAGAGACCCTTTAGTTTTACTTAACATAGTTTTTTCATTAAATGATTTCCTTTCTTTACATGAAATCTCAAAAGTTTTTATAGTTTCATCAATGTTTTTCAATGCATTTAAAATAGTGTTTGTAACGTCTTCCATTTCATGTAATTTTGGATAAGTAAATAATTGATTGCACGTAAGGTTTCCTGAAGAATATGTCAATATATTAGCTGTTTCTTTAAATTTTTCATACACTGGTAACAAAAGTTGCAAGTTTTTTATAAATTCAGCCATGTTAAGATATATTTCTCCTTCATTAGGTATTGTATAGGTACTTGGATACGTAAATTTCTTCATATGCATATAACTCGACTTTTTATGTAATCTTTTATTTGCATAAAGTGAATCATAATACCTCCTCATTCTTTTTTTATAATTCACATCAATGTTTTTCATCTCAGTATTTATAAGAATTTTTAATGACTGAATGATCATCGTGAACATGTTTCTAAATTCATTATGTGTACTTTTAATATGACTGAATATTTCTTGTAATAATGGAATTGCATTTTCTGAAATATGAGTTAGTTTAATAGGAAAAGCATTATCCATAAAATTTTTAAGGTATAACTCAAAATGTTCGTACTCAATTGTATTAAAATTTAAACAACTTTTATCTTTACTTTTTTTATTAGTAATGTTTCTTTTTGTTGTTTTATTCTCACTGTTATTTTCTTCATTATCAATCTTCTGTCTTTTTACATCATCCTTTATATTTTCATCACCTTTTCGCTTAGAGTTACTATTTGTGTTTTGCTTTTCATCATCTTCACTATCTAAGCAATAGCTAAAAATAAAAAAATTTATGTATATATAAAATACTCAAACAAATTTATATGTGAAAATATTAAAAATAATACGTACCGTTTTATGAATGAATCAAAAGGTTCATTTTCTAAATCAAAAATAAACTCATCTAAGTTAAGAGAGTCGTTTTCCAAATCATTAGAACCCTCTTCTAAATTAAGTGAAATATCATCGAAATTAAACGATTTGCTTTGTAGATCAATGAACATATTTTCCTGGCTATCTGGTTCCTTTTCTTGATTAGATGACATATTTTCTGAATCAGTTAATTTCTTTTCCAAATCAGACTTAACCTTTTCTATGTCACCTGACATATTTTCTAAATCATCTAATAATTTGTCTAAATCAAAAGGTGAGGTATCATAATGAGACGGCTCTTTTTCTGAATAATGTGATTCATCTATTAAATTATCTAATAATTTTTTAAAATCAGCAGATGTTTTCTGTAAATCAATAGATATTTTTTCTAAATTAGAAGTTTTTTCTAATTCAAATGGTATATCATCTAGACTATTTAATAGATCCTCTAAATCAGAAACTTCATCCGTTACATTAACAGGTGCGCTATCTAAATCAAGTATTTCATCTTTTTTATCATCAGTTGTGTTATCTAAACCAAAAGATATTTTACTTAAATCTGAAAATACACTTTCTAAATCTGGCAACAAATTTTCTGCATCAGAGAGTATATTTGTATGAGAATATGAATTTTCTAAATTAGATGATAAATTTAAGAGATTATCTAATTCTTTTTCTTCAAGTTTTGTGCTCGTTTCCTTATTTGGTGTAAGTTCTTCTTTAATTTTAATTAAATTATATCTAAAAATAAAAAAAATTAGCTTATTCATAATATTTAATTAAAAAGAAAATTCTGATGCACTAAAAAATACAAAAAAATATATACTTATTTGAAGAGGAATCAAAATCATCATCTTGTTGGCTACTATATTTATGTGCTAAGCTACTTATAGGTGTTTTCTCTGCAGTGTTGTTAGAGTAGGAATGTCTAAAAAAGTTATATGTGCATATATATATATATTTCTATATTAATATGATAAATACTTAAATAAAAAGTGAATTTATTCAAATTTACAAAAGAATACATACTTCCGCATGGACAAGTCAAGTGGCTCATCTTGTGGATCTTGTGTAATACAGACATTAATTAAAGAAAAGAAAAAAAAAAGAAAAAAAAATTTATACATTGAAATTTTTTTAATTTTATGATACATATTTTTGGTTATAATTATGTAATAAGGTAAAATCAGCGGTTGAACACTTGATGGTTTACTATAATTTCCTTTTATTTTAAATATTATATTTATTTAGTTTTAATTTGATTCGTAAGCGAATTTTTTTCTTTTTATTATTATAGTTATTAAAAACTAAAAAAAGCTCTTTTATATAGTATTTTTTACAACTAATTTGTTATTTATGTAATTATATTTGAATTTTCATTTTTTTCTATATAAAAATAAAAATATTATACATCATCTTTAAAACTGTGGGCATATTTATAATCAAAATTAGAATATATGTTAGTCTTTTCAACTTAACATGTAAACATTCTTACTAATATATAAATCATTAAATACTTGTGTAAAAATATATATCTATAGTTGTTAATTAATATGTATGTAATCAGTTATTTACAATTTTATAAATAATAGACGGTTATAAAAATTAAACATTTAAATCACATTTTTATATTTAATTTTTTTTATTTTCCTTTCGTACACAAATTTATATATTAAAAAGAAGTTTTTCTTACACTTAATCCTCTAAAATATTTAATTATTTACTGGTCTATGTTTTTCTTTTTTCATTTTTCTTTATCATATTTTTAATAAAATAATGTAGATTTTGTTTTTCCTTAATTAAAAAATAAAGTAAAATAAGTTATGTATTTTTCATAGTATTGTATAAAGAAAATATAATTTATAAATACATTGAGGTTCAATTATATGGTTAAAAAATATATCATTTGGTAATTAAAAAATTCAAGTGGACAACAAAAATTATAATTTTTGCAGTTTAATATTGTCATTTTAAAGTAGATCAATTTATATTAATTTGAAAAATGCATGTGGACGATATAACTTACACATAATATATAGTTCTATAATTTAATATATTATTAGGCATTTCTTCAAAATATTGTTAATTATGGGCTACTTATCGAATATTACAATATGAAAAATAATTAATTGTAAAATTTATAACTTACATAATTAAAATGTACTTTGTTATTATTTTATTATGTTTTATCATATATGTTTATATTGTGTGCGTAATAGAAGGAATTTTTAGCTATAATAATTTCATTTAAAAAATTATTATCTTTTTATCAAAGCCATATTTATAGTGATTTATGAATAAATAAAAAAGTTATATGCTAATATTACTGTTTAAGAATATGCTAGTGACAATAATTAAAAAAGAAAGCAAAGTTTATTTTATCATAAAAGTAAAAATTTTGCATTGAATAATTCTAAATTTTTATGAAAGAACAAAATATAATATTTCAATGCAGTATATGATGTTATATTTTTATTTCTAATTTAATCATTCTAAAAAAATGTATTGTATCTTAAAAAACAAAAAATATTTCCTTCAGTGTAATAATGATTTCCTCTTTATTTTTGACAAATTTTATTGATTTATCATGAAAAATACATATATATGTATATATATATATATGTATATATTATTATTGTAATTTTAAAAATGATTAATTAAAAAAACTAGGAATTGTATTAAAATAAGTAGTTTAAATAAATTTATAAAATTATTTTATAGACTGAGTTTTTTTAATATTTTTTTGGTCATCAAGAATTCAATTTTTTACAAAAAACTACTTTCTGATATGAATAATATAAAAATATATATTATTTAAGAAAAGAAATTTTCAATAAAGCAAATAATTTTCATCTAGAATTAAATAAATACTTTAGCATATTTATGCCTTTTTATAAGCCTACATGAATGATTTTTATGAAATTTTCCTTTATTATGATATATATTTTTTTTTTTATAAATATTTTTTATTAGAATATTTATTTATACATAAAAACAAAAAGAAATAAAAAAAATTATACATATTTTTTTGAACTTCATTAGTAATATTTATTAATAGAAAGAAGTTCGTTTTTATATATAAACATTAGAAAAAAAGTTCTGATTATAAAGTTCTTTTTTTCTTTATATTTAAAAAAGGCTAACTTCATTTATACATATAATATAAACTATATATATGAGTGTATATCTTATCATTATAACAATTTCTTTTTTCTTATTATTTCAATGTAACATCTTTTTTATATAATTGTTTAATGTAAATTGTAGAAAATTATCACTTCTTTAAAGAATTTGATTTATATCTTCTTCATAAAAAACAAAAACATAAATTGTTCAAAACCTGAATAACAGATTGTGTCTTTTGGGAAGCATACATAGTAATTATTCAAAAAGTTGATGTTAACTAGAACTATATGAAAAATTATTTTTACTATATATCTTTCGTTTGATATTAATAATTTTATTAATATATTTTCATTACATTACATATTAAAAAAAAAATAAAAATACTTTTTAGAACAAGAAAAACATATAATATATATACTTCATAAATATTATAAGTATTAAACTTTCAAATACAACATTATTTATAACAATCAAAATAAATGTTATCATCATTACTATTACTACAAATATATTATTAATTATTACAGAAATCATTGAATTCATATTTAATAATAATAGAATAACCATTCTTATTAATAAGAGAAAATACACTTTACAATTATATAATCATAACTATAAGTATAATAATTTTTTTTTATCCATAAATTTTTTTATGTATACAATACAAGAGAAATTTTGCATACTATATTTTTTTTTCTTTTAGTGTTAAATAATAACATTGTTATTCTAAAATTAATAATTAATGGATCATTTTATTTTATACTTTAAAAATTAAAAATTTTATCAATATCATTATAATTCTTCTAATAATAGTTTTTATTTTTATTTTTATTAAGATTATGAAAAAATTTATATATTAAAAAAAAATTTCTGTTTAACTCAAAAGTATCAAGATAAATTATTTTATCTATTACACTTTATTATTTGTAATCTTATTTATACTTTTTTTATAATATATTATTTTATTAACTTTCATAATTGTTACATTTAGTTTAAAATTTAAATTTCATTTTCCTTTACTCTTGCATTGTTTTCCATTTTTTAAGTTTAGAAACTTTTTTTATCTTTACTTAATAATTTTTATTTTTTCATGTATATTCAATACACATTTATTTAATCTAATTAATCTAAAATTAACTAATTTTTAATTTAACTTTTTTTTAAAGTAATATAATGGGTAATACTTTTAAATAACAAATTACAGGATATTATGTGGAAAAATACTATATATATATAATTAAAACTATATATATTTCTAGATATTTAAATTTTACTGTTTTTATTATTTAATTCACCCTATAGTTGATTTTGATTTTGGAATTATGTTACTTAATGCTTTAATTGAACCTTAAATAAGCATTACTTCAAAAAAATTACTTTTGTTTTTATTTTAATATGAATGTCTTTATATTATTTTATTTGTTTATTGATTTTTATTTTATTATTGATATATACTAACTCTATTTCGATTGATTTAGAATTTTACATGGATATAAACTTTTATGTTAATATGAAATCATAGGTGTAGAATAGGAACAATAAATCAATTTTGAATTTAAAAATTTACTTTTATATTAATTAGAGATATACATGCCCTAATATGGTTAAATTTTAACAAATATTTTAAAAAATAATATAATTATCCTATATCATATTTATATTTAAATTATATATTATTCCTTACCTTCAAATATAAATCTATTTTTATTTTCCTTGATTAAATTGATATTAATTTTTAGATTTTTTTATTAAATCGGATGTTTTATTCTTTTTTAACCTATTTGAAAATTAAATTTTATTTCTACTTTATTGCAATAATGAATTATTTATTATGTAAAATTAGTTTTAAATGAACATTTCACATAATAGAATGATACAACACTTTTTACAAAGACATAATATTTCAATATTCTTATTGATAATAATATGCCAAAGAAAAAGTCTTATTAAATTGTATAGCCACTTTCATAATTAAAATGTTTAATTAAATACCAAATTTATATAGGCTCTTAATCAAGAATTATAATAACTTAAAAAACTTAATAAAATATTTAATAAATATAATTATTATAATTTAATATTTTTACCTTTTATATTTTTTATATAAATGATATTATAGATATCTTTTGCATAATATTTATATGAATAAATCGAATAAAAACATTTTATTCTGTTCATACTAAATCTCGGAGACAATATGCAATCGTAACCGTGTACTCTAAAATAACTATTCGAAAGCATGCATACTAAAAAAATATATATTTATATATATATACTCTTGTACTTCAAGAGAGAACACAAAAAAAAAGTTTTTAATAAATAATAATAATAATAATGATAATTCTTATTTTTTTTTTTTGTGTGTGTATATCTATAATTTAAAAAGGAAAAGTTATATCATATATTTTTTTTTTTTTTTGGTACATAATTCAGACTTAAAAAAATAATATATGTGGAGATATATTTTTTTTTTATTCTTTTTTAAAAAAAATTGTAATCTTAAAAAAAAAATTTTAGATATTTTTTTTTTTCAGAAATGTAGTATGTCTGCAAATCATACTAGAGAGTATATTTTAAGTTAAAAGATTTAACAATTTTAAAATTTAATTAAATACAAATTAAATTAAATATAGTTTGATCTCTATTCTCTTTATATATTTGTTTGTTCAATACTAACAAAGTCAATGAATATACTACAAAAATACATAAATATTCAATTAGTAAAGTACTCTTTTACATTTGCATGTTTAAATTCAAATAGAAACGCTCGAAATTTACATTCAAAAATTTAAGATATATGTATTTTATTGAACTACAATTTTTCATATGTGTATGATACTTTTTTTTGGAATGGAAGCTTTTTGAGTAAATGGAATATGTAAGGTATTCTATGCAATTATCAAGAAAATATATTTTGATTAAATGCATTACACTTATTTTTTATAAAGTTCTGCTGTA